GCCTGCTGAGAGTGACAATTGCTGCAGATGGCTCTAATGTCACCATGGGTCTGACGATGCGAAACCTTCAAATCACATCCCAGAAGCAAAGCCACCATCTCTTGAAGATGCTCATGTTTAGCCGCTGGGGTGTCTGGCCATGGTACAGCAACCAGCATGCCCATGAGCAGCGCACCCATTCATCCTGGCTCGGCGCAATCAGAGCTACATGACAAACGCATCTACGCTGGCAACACAGGCCATTACGCACAACGGGTGCGTGAAACATGCCTGCGGTTTTCAGAGCACAGGGGTCAGCTTCAGCCTGGATCAGGATAGTCAGAACGGGGGGGAAAGTCTAACACAACGCACACACTTACATTGGGAGAGGGCTCCAGCATGTTGTCTCCATGCCAACCCGAGATGGGCACGAAGGGAACTGTGGCTGGGTTGTAGCCAATCTTCTTGATGTAGGCGCTGACTTCCTTGACGATCTCATCGTAGCGTTTCTCGCTGTACGGGGGCTCTGTGGAATCCATCTTGTTGATGCCCACGATGAGCTGCTTCACCCCCAGGGTGTAAGCCAGCAGGGCGTGCTCACGAGTCTGCCCGTTCTTGGAGATACCAGCTTCAAATTCACCAACGCCGGCAGCAACGATCAGGACGGCGCAGTCAGCCTGGGAGGAGAGAGCTAATGAATTGCACAGCCAAGGCCTTATCTAAAACCCTACTGAAGTCTTGCAGATAATCTCCCTGGCTGATGGATGAGACTACAGCCATGCACACCCAGAGCCCACAGCAGAAGCTGCCTGGGTTTGACAGGAAGCCATGCCTGGCCCAACTGGCATCACAATGGGAACCTCACCAGGCATGCAGTGAGGCTCATCCAGCACCTCTCAACTACAGTCAGATGCAGGAATGTCCTGCAGTGCAATGAGGGGAAACCGCCCTACCCTGGAAGGGTAGTCTGTGGAGTTTGGTAATGTGATGTGGTTTATGGGACAAAGACAGCTGTTTCGAGAAAAAGGAAGGAGAAAAGACCCATGGAGTCTGCTTTAGCCAATAAAACCTAAGGGATTGTTGGCAGTTTCTTGTATGCCTCAGTTGGCTGAGTCTAAAATAATGTGGGTGACACCCTCACACAAAGGCCTGTAGGTATAGCATCCCACAGCTCCCAGAGATGCCGTGTTCATCCTCACCTCCTCCAAGTACGGGAAACAGGGTGGAGAAACCACATCTTTGTGCCCAAGGAAGCCCTTTGCCCCAGACACCCAGGGAGGTGCAGGACCATGGTGAGCTGGGTCCCCTGGTGCTACTCAGCCTCTTGCATGGACCCTCCTCAACACCACTTGATGCCTGCTGTCTCAGCTACCCACCTCCAGAAGGACTCCAACAGCGCCTGCATGACCCTGGGCTCATCAGCAAGCCTCAGCCTCCCACCTCTGGCAGACCCCCACCCCCGGTCACCATTTCTCACCTGGGAGGTCCCGGTGATCATGTTCTTGATGAAGTCCCTGTGGCCGGGTGCGTCAATGATGGTGATGTAGTACTTGGTGGTCTCAAACTTCCACAGCGAGATGTCAATGGTGATGCCACGCTCACGCTCGGCCTTCAGCTTGTCCAGCACCCAGGCGTATTTGAAGGACCCCTTCCCCATCTGGCCGACACAAAGGCAAGAGCCGGTGAGAAACCCAAGCCCACAGCACCGGTACCAGTAACCCACCCTCCAGGGCACATCCCAAGCTCACAGAGGCTCACATTGCAAACATTGAAGGCAAAATTCCCTAGATCCAATGGCAATGATCTATTACTAATAAACACAGGTGAAAGGAGATATTGCTCTCCACGCATTCCTCAGCAGGATGAGGAGAGGCTGGAAGAAGAGCTGTGAAGTGAATTTGCGAGTGGATGGGGAGGAGCTGGAGCCAGTGGCTCATGTCTGTCCCCGAGTCCTGAGATTGCAGTCTCCTCCATGAAACACCATGGTCCTGCACTGCCGCTGGGAAATCACGGTGCTACACAATTACACAGCAATGGCGGAAAGCTTCTTATTGCCGCATTTTAATCTATTAACTGAACCCGTGAGACAGCTGGTTAGTGGGGAAGGGCGTTGCTGTACGAGTGAGCCCATAACTGACAGGGGTGTAGGAGGGGAACGGGTTAAAAGAAAACGCGATGCGAGATGGTTGCTATGAGCAGAATAGAAACGTGATTGATTTTTGCCACAGACTGTGTGAATTCACACAAAACGCTACTGTGAGCTGCAGCCAGACCAACTGTTGTTGCCAAATGGCCAAAATCTCAGCCAACATTGTAATGCATAAAATCGTGCTAGGTGAGATAGCTACAGTAAATCTCTCCTGTGATAAAGCATAGTCCTTGGTAAAAGCA